GCTGGAGCCCAGCAGGTTGAGGTTGCGGTGGCTGGGAGCGGCCACTGCACTCCAGTCTGGACGACAGAGTGAGACTCCAACTCAAAAAAAAAAAAAAGAAATTGGTACCCAATCATAGGCAATACACAGAGGGTCACACTGAGGAAAACGCTCAGCCACAATAGTGGCTTTTCCACGCCATGTTCCCAGGACTAGAGGTTGGGGTAGAAGAGAAGGGAAAGATGGGGTACTAGGACCCTCAAAGCCCAGGGAATTTCTGACAGGGACAGATGGTATCCGCCAATCTGTCTCCCTACGACATAAGGTATCACTCCCATGCTTGGCCCTCACGACTCCCACCTGGGCCTTGCTGCACTGGCTAGCTCATCCTCATTATCTCTGAGTGGGTCTCTCCTTTCTTGAAATCCCTTGCTTTACCCAGTCCTGCCCCAACAACGCTATTTCCTTTCATTATTTTTGTACACACAGTGTAGCAAATGTCCATGTTTCTCTCTACAAAGGCAAAACTGACACAGGAAATTTGGCTTTTTAAAACTGGTGATTTTTCTTTGTGGAGGAGGATTCTTTACTTTATTTCATGACCCCCGTCCAAGTGATGAGCCCTTTTCCCTGCCCAAGAAATTATTCCCTTCACACTTCATTTTGCAGAGCCTAGCTCTTGCTGTCTTCCTCACTCTTAGGAATAGTCCTCAAGGGCTCAGGGGCTTCAACCTTGACTAAGGGCTTGCTGCTGGGTCTTACCTGATCAAACAGACTCATGACCAGGACAGCAAGGGAGGTGTAGATCAGATTGTAGCAGGTGATAAATCAGGCATCGCAAACTGTCTAGAAGAATACCAAGGAGATTTTGTAGACGCCTCTCTTCTACAAAATCCCTGCTCCATCTTCTAGGTCCAAGATAGCTGCCTCCCCCCCAGCCTCCTACCCATTAACCTAGAGCAGCATTTAGATTTCAGAAATCTGACGGAGAATGTTGATATTCAGTCTCTATTTGATCTCATTCTATTTAGAACTCTGGATCCTAGGCTGGGGTGAGGCCACACCAAGATTTCAAGGTTGATTTGGATCAATCCCACCCTAGCCTGCACTGCCCCTCCTTTTCCACAGAACGGACCCGAAATGGCTGCTAGAGAATGCCAGCTGAATCCCTGTGCTCCCAGGCATGGAAACCTCTGGGCCCATGCTTTATCTGCTTGAGGGCACTCAATGGCTTCTATGGGACTGGATACCTAACATTGGCAAGCAGAATAGACCCGATGACCCTTCTCCAGCTGGGTGCTCCATCCTGGAGTCTAGAAAGGGAACCTTCTTTCCTAGCCACAAGAGGTCAGCAGCAATACATGTTTACACACAAACCTTCTGCAAACCAGACTGGCTTGGCCAGGTATACAAATCTACTACGTCTGCTGACTGGTCATTTCCCCCAGAGCATACGGCAACAAAAGTAGTGGAGATCTCCCAAGATAGCTGTTCCTGAGGTTGTTCTTCTTGAGATTTCTTGAGACACTCCTGAAAAACTTTTTCATAGGAAAAAGGACTCCTCTTAGAACATCAAAATCCAGAAGATTTTGAAGATTTCATATTCAAATGTGGAATTAATTCATCAAAGTGGCAATTGTGTGTATGTTGGCGACAGTCTGGGTGGGGAAGGAGAAGTCAAGGAAGCTGTATTTCTGCATATGGCTACAGGCAAGTGCCATAACTGGCCAGTCTGGCATAACCCAGAGGCTCCTTGAGGCCTGGCCTGTTCCATAAAGATAACTTGGAATGCTAAGAAAACTCCCAGATCCAAGAATTTCCCCCCATTAAATATGATTGAAAACTCTAGGTCCAAACCTCAGGGAAAAAGTGAAAATAGCTTATGGGAAAGTCTGGAGGTAGAAATCAAGGCTGAATTGGAGGCACACCAGAGCTATGGTTTGGAAATCTAAGGTTAATGTAGTGAGGGGAGATGGGATCAGCCTGGGGTAAAGGGCCTCATGGATGGATGGTAGCAGATCACACATCTGTCTCTAGAGAAGAAAAAAGGTCTGAGGTGGCTAGAGAAGACCCAGCTGACCAGACTGGAGATCGCCACCTCATCACCTACCTGTGCAGAGAAGCCGTTGAAGAAGGCATACCAGCAGTGCACCAGGGTGAAGGTGAAGGTCTTATAGAAGAAGTAGCTGAGAAACTTGCACATGCAATTATAAGACAGTGGCCATGGACCAAGAGCAGACGTTGAAGATAGTAGAACTGGGAGAAGGAGAAGTTGCTGTTGAGCATGGCTTGCATCCCCTCATAGCCACTAATGCCGACTCCAGTGTGGGCAGCTGCAATGAAACCTAGAAGCTTCTCAGCAACAGAACTCATTTGCTGGGCTCCCGGCCTGGGAAGTGTGAAGTGAAAGCTGAGATGATGTACAAATTCCTTATTTTACATTTGGCAAATGCTGTTAGGCCCAACACACAACAGTGCTTCCTTAGTGAGTCTTTTCTCCTTAGTGGATTGCCCGTCCCTCTCAGGTTGGAAAGCAGTTCCTTCTGCACTTTGTTTGGGATGCTGCCACTCAAGAATAAGAAAACTGTTCTGGATTTTCTTTGTCCCTACTCTAGCCATCTGGACTCTCTCCTACTGTCCAGAATGTGATGTTAACATTTCTCGTTATCTTTGGAAGTCATTTAAATGAAGTTAAATATGCAGGATGAATACCAATCTAATACAATATTGAATTATCTAAGGGGCCAGAATTCAACTGTATGTGATGCACATATGAGAGGGGACCTCCCCGAAACCGGAATTATCTTTTGGAGTTCGGGTCCCTTATAGTACACTCAGAATTTCTTCCTCCAGATCTAACGGTCAATCAGTTTTTACGTGGAAGTTTTGAGAAAGTTGCAACACGATTTGCAGAAGAAACATCCCGAGTTGTGGCAAACAGGTGACTGGTTCTTCCACCATGACAACACACCTGCCCACACCACACAGCTTTTGACCCCAAATGGCATGACCTCTGTGCCCCGTCCTCCCTGTTCAACTGATCTTGCCTTGAGCAAATATTCTTCTGCTTTGCCCAATGACAAAAGTCCTCAAAGGGAAACGTTTTGCTGACGTGGAAGAGGTGAAACGAAAAACGGCGGAAGCACTGAAAGGCATCACAACTGATGAGTTCAAAAACTTCTGAGCAGTGGAAAAAGCATCTCGATAGATGCATTGCCTCAGATGGGATGTACTTTGAAGGAGGCTGACGTTTAAACATGTAAGAATAAATATACAACTTTTAATAAATAAATTCTGTTTTGGGGGCCCCCCTTATACTTTGTTAGTGAGAAACAAGATTTTCAGGCGGCCTAGGATAAAGTAAAGATTATATTTGATGGAAGTCTGAAGTTTCTAACAGTTTTTTGTTTTTGTTTTTGTTTCTGAGTTGGAGTCTCACTCTGTTGCCCAGACCGGAGTGCAGTGGCCGCTCCCGGCCACCACAGCCTCGACCTGCTGGGCTCCGGCGATCCTTCCACCTCAGCCTTCCGAGTAGCCGGAATTACAGGCATGTGCTACCATGCCCGGCTGATTTTTGGATTTATTGTAGAGATGAGGTCTCGCTGCCCAGGCTGGTCTCGAACCCACGGGCTCAGGCAATCCACTCACCTCAGCCTCCCAAAGGTGCGGGATTACAGGCTGAGCCACCGAGCCTGGCTTTTTTTTTTTTTTTTTGATTCAGAGTTTCACTCTGTCACCCAGGCTGAAGTGCAGTGGCATACTCACAGTCACCACAGCGTCACCGTGCTGGGCTCAAGAGATCCTTTCACCTCAGCCTTCCAAGGAGCTGGAATTACAGGCATGCGCCACCACCCCTGAATAATTTTTCTTGATTTATTGTAGAGACGAGGTCTCACCACATTGCCCAGGCTGGTCACGAACCCCTGGACTCAGGCAATCATCTCGCCTCTGCGTCCCAAAGTGCTGGAATTACAGGTATGTGCCACCATGCCTGGCCCCTAACAGTTTCAATTAGTCTATGGTAATTTGCCATTTTTCTGATATATACCAAATTCACTGATTTTCTGGTATATGTGCCTACTGCACTGCTTAAGGGGATAATTGAAACCTCTAAAGTTCTAAATACCAGAATACCAGAGAAGTTCCAGAAACTTAGAAAGAGAGCAAGGACATTTTCTAGTATTGAAGTTGAAGCTGGATTATCTGTTCGTGTTTCCCATGTGGGGAGAGAGGTTGGACTAGAGGAACTCTACACATGTGCATATCTCATAGATCCACAAGTTGCTGAAGGCTAACAATATTCATCTGAAATTAAAGGCAGCCATTTCCTTCTATAGGTCTGAAATGATTAGTAAGTCACTTATTCTCCTCCAGCCAGGGTAGCAGGGCAAGCTCTTGGGAACACAGCCTCTGCATTGGGCCTTACAGCCTATAGCCCTCAAAAAAGGAACAGACTCCTGCCCAGGGGTCCTTTCTGTGGGCCTCGATGCCATCTCATAAAGATGGCATGGGAGTGGCACAGCCTGTTGTTTTGTGAATGTATGAATGTGTTCTTGTGGGAGACGTGTTCTGGGTGTGTACTTACACTCAGAGTGTAAGTGCATGAATCTGAATGTGTGTTCTCGCTTGTGAAAGGGGCTGACACCTGCATGTGTAAATAAGTGGGAGTGCAGGTATAGAGGAGCATGGATGGAGTTGCAAAACAGCATAGGTGTTCAATACATATGACAGGCAGGAGGGTGAGCCAGAAACTCAGTACCACCCAGATAAGTTTTGCCCACGGAGGAAGGAAGGGGCAAGCCCATGGCTGGGGGCTAACTGCCTCTTTCCCCTTACATGCCTTTGCCCATGCTGATGTCATTGGCCCCATCCCCGATGGTCAGTGTCACCACCTTCTTATACCTCTTCCCAGCTCTACCACCTGGGCCTTCTGGAGGGGTGTCATCTGGCAGCAGATTACCCCTGAACACAAGCATGCAGTTTGCAGGAGTTTCAACTCCAAGTTTCCTTCTAAAGAGTAGGCCTGCAGAACTAGGACACACCCACTCTTCAGGTGTCCCAAAAAGGCTTTCAGGGCAGGACCTTCCCAGGTGCTTTCCCTCCCTCCACACCCTCCTGTCCTTCATAGGGCAGGTGTAGCTGCTCCCAGGGTGCACCCTCCACTTTCCCGAGGGAGTCCAAGCCCATAAGTCAGGTCCTCACATCTGATTCAGCCTCCATGGGAAATTGGTCAGGACCTCTTACTGGGGCAAACCAATTGACAGGGCTATAGGTCTAAGCGACTTCCTGGAGAACCTGGTTCTGCTTGCTTCCCCTCTTCCCCCAAGTGACTGGCCATATCAGTGGTAAATAATTTGGATAAAGAAAAAATATGCTCTTGGCTTCCCTTTTCTCATTTACTCCTGCCTAGAGAAGCCTGAGGAAAACCTTTCAGGAAAAGGCACCTGAAGGGAGATAGAATAGGGTGATGCATGGAATAGGGAACGGGTCTGGAAATTTCCCTGAAGTGAATTAGACCTAGGAAGAAAGGTCCTTGGAAGAAAAGAGTTGTAGTTGTGTTGCCCACCAGACTGTAGCCACTGATGATCAAGCCATAGTTGCCATTGGCCTGGGTATGTACTTACACTCAGGTATTTTGAAATACTCATCAGGTATTTTGAAGGGCATTTTAGGCTTCATGGCGAGGTAGGTGTTTATTGGGTCTGTATCCAGGAGAGACTTGCTCCTTGCTGTCTTGAGAGCCAAGAGTAGTGGTCAGATTCTGATCTGAAGCCCCAGAGCTTAGAAAGGAGAATGTGTCCCTGGATGAAAATGGGCAAAGGGGGTACAGGGACCCTGCAAAGTGTCAGCCAGGACTCAACTTGACTGTCTCCTGAGACCTGCCACTGCCCTGGGTTCCTGACCATCTACACACCACACTTCACCCCCACACTCTAACTCCTTTAACCCAAATGCTTCTTTACAAAATTCTCTAAAATGTTTTTAGGTTTTTTTGCTTTCCCCTCCTCCATCTCTTCCCTTTTTTTCTGGTGGTATGAGGACCACATGTGGGGAGGAGATGGACGAGAAGTCTTAGGTCCAGGGACTGGTCACTCTCCCATTTGTACCTGAGTTCTTGCAGAACAGTCTCATCATCCTTGCCTTTCACAATGAACACCTCATCCATTTCATCATCAGGTATATTACAGGAGTAGGCAATGTTCACAGCAGTCTCTGTAGGGAAGGGGAGCACAGGTCTCACAAAAAGCCTTAAGCCGGTATTTATAACAGGGACAGGATCTTCACAGTGTCCAGGTACACGGGGTCTAACAGTGAGCTGCAGAGCCCATTTGTCTACATTTGCCATAGATGCCATAAAAGAGGTTTTTTTTACACAAATCAGTGGAGACCATATTTGAACACTCACAGGTGACTGACTACCTGGTACAGATGTGTGAGTGCTTTATCAATAACTAGAATTATTGCAACCTTCTTTAGAAAACCTTACTCTATTTTTAAAAGCAATTTCAGTCTGTATTCCTTTATCAAGGCAATCAGGATGTGTTTCTTTTTTCTTTTTTGAGTTGGGGTCTCACTGTGTTGCCCAGGCTGGAGTGTGGTGACATGATCATGGCTCACCGCTGCCTCGAATTCCTGGGCTCAGGTGATCCTTCTGCCTCAGCCTCCAAAGTAGCTGGGACTACAGGTGCGTGCTACCATGCCTGGTTATTAAAAAAATTTTTTGGGGGGGTAGAGATGAGTTATTCTGTTACCTAGGCTAGTCTCAAACTCCTGGGCTCAAGCAATTCTCTCGCCTCGGCCTCCAAAAGTGCTGGGATTACTGGGATGAGCTACAGCGCCTGGCCAAGATGTGTTTTTTTGAACAGCACTGTGCCCATTTCTATGCTAGATTTTATGGGGGACTGAGACATGTTTAAGTTGTAGTCTTTCTTCTACATCAAGAAATCTGGAATTTGGAATAAATTCATACTAAGGAAAAAAATTTTGAAGTTAAGTCCTGAACCCTGGCTATAAGTGGGATGAGAACTCAGGAAAAATTGTCATTGTCACAGAAACTTCAAGATTGATAAGGGCAAAAGACAGAGAGATGAGTTCAGAAGCACTGGCAGAAGTACAGAGATGAAGGTTGAACTGGGGTGGTGGCACAGTCAAAAGGATTTTCAAACAATTTAGTTTTTTGCATATATATATAT